CAGCACATCTACAAACAGCTAATCTTCAACAAAGTTACCAAGAACATACAATGGAGAAAAGACAGTCTCTTCAATAAATGGTGTTGGGAAAACTGGACAGCCATATACAAAAGAATGAAAGTAGACCACTATCTCATGCCATACACAGATAGCGAACTCAAAATGGATCAAAGACTTGAAGATAAGTCCTGAAAAAATAAAACTCCAGAACGATTGAAGGGGTGGAGCAAAATGGCGGGGTGAGCTGACCCAGGATTCTCTCCCCTCCAAAATACAACAAAGGATTGGAAAAACTGAATTTCAGAGAATAAATCTAATGCCAACACGTTAGAGACCTACAATACCAAGAAGGTGGAGAACATAAACCTTGCTGACGGCCTTGGAGGTGCTGGAACGGGTAGGAGAGAACTTCACTCCCTCCCCTAGAGACTGGGATTGCTGCTGCGGGTCAGGGAAGGAGCGGGGGAGGGGCTGCGTGGCCGGGGGCTTATCCAGGACTCCTGCCGCTGGTTCAGTGGAGACCCGTTGAAGGGGGAGAGCTTCCGTGTGCAGGGACCCCATAAACCCAGGGCCTCCGGAGACCAGAGAACAGAACTGATCTGAATCCAGATAGGGGGTGAGAATAGCAGCCCCTCCCTGACAGAAAAGCACACTGGGCGCCGCCATCTTGCCCAAAGGCAGAGAGCTCAGAACACGCGGCTCTCGACCCCCATCTAGTGGCGACAGGCTGTAACTGCCACCGAATTCTACCACCACGCGAAAAAACCGCTCCTCTACCATCCAGCAATTTATAAAAGCCCCAGACCAGAAGGAAAACAATAAAAACATAGAATTAAGTCCTGAGGTCTTGGAATTGGGTAAACTAAGTGATAATGAGTTCAGAGCAGCTATAATCAAAAAACTCAATGAGGTAGAGAGAAAGACAGAGAAACAAGCCAATGAGTTCTGGAGTTACTTCACAAAAGAGATTGAAATTATAAAGAAGAATCAAACAGAATTACTAGAGATGAAAAACACAATGGACCAGATAAAACAGAATACAGATTCCCTGAATGCCCATGTAGACACCATAGAAGAGCAAATTAACATAACTGAAGATAGACAGGCTGAATGGCTCTAGACAGAGGAAGAAAGAGAACTAAGAATTAAAAAAAAAACAAGGAAAATCTCCAAGAGATAGTGGATTCAATCAGGAGTAAGAACTTAAGGATCATAGGAATTCCCAAGAACGTGGAAAAGGAAAATGGAGCAGAAAGTGTGCTTAACGAAATTATTGAAGAGAACTTCCCACATCTAGGGATTGACGGAGAAAGGTGTGTAGAGGAAGCTTTCAGATCTCCTAGATTTGTCAATGTAAAAAGACCTACTGCAAGGCACATAGTAGTACAATTGGCAAGAAGGAAAGATAAAGAAAGAATACTCAGGGAAGTAAGAAAAAAGAAGAGAATAACCTACAAAGGAGCCCCTATCAGACTTTCAGCGGATTTCTCTACAGAAACCTTACAAGCTAGGAGAGAATGGAGTGACATAGTCAAAGCTTTAAAAGATAAAAATCTTCAGCCAAGAATACTCTATCCAGCAAGAATTTCCTTCAGATATGAGGGAGAAATTAAATCTTTTCCAGACAAACAAAAGTTAAGGGAATTTGTAACTAAAAGCCCTCCACTACAAGAAATCCTCAAGAAGGCTCTCATACCTGAAAAAAGAAAAAAGGGAGAAAGGGGTCACAATCCACAGACTAGGGAGACTGATGGAGAGAACCAGAATAGGATAGCAAATATTCAACTATAGCATTAGGGTAAAGGTAAGGAAACTTCCAAAGCAAGGATGATCTTATCACTCTAACTACAAATTCATAACACGAGTTGGAATAAGAAATGAAAATAATTATTTAGGAGGGGAAGAGCAAAGGGTCTAAATCAGTATTAGCCAAGTAAGTAAGAGACCACCAGAGAATAGAATATACACGAGATTCTAAATACAAACTTCAGGGTAGACACTAAAATAAAATACGGAACAGTCACAAATCATAAATAAGGAAAAATCTAAGAAACCCAGCATAAGAAATTGCATAAAACTCCGGGAAGATACTATAGGTAGTACACTCTTTGACATAGAACTTAAAAGGATCTTTTCGAATACCATGTCTTCTCAGACAAGGGAAACAAAAGAAAAACAAGCAGGACTTCATCAGACTAAAGAGCTTCTGAAAGGCAAAAGAAACGAGGATCAAAACCAAAAGACAACCCACCAAGTGGGAGAAAATTTTTGCAAATCATCTATCTGATAAGGGGTTAATCTCCAGAATATATAAGGAACTCACACACTGAACAAGAAAAACAAACAGCCCAATCAAAAAATGGGCAGAGGATATGAACAGACATTTTTTCCAAAGAAGATATACAAATGGCTGTTAAACACATGAAAAGATGTTCATCATCACTAATCATCAGGGAAATGCAAATCAAAACTACATTAAGATACCACTTTATGCCTGTTAAAATGGCTATAATCACTAAGACTAAAAATAATAAATGTTGGAGAGGGTGTGGAGAAAAGGGAACCCTCGTACACTGCTGGTAGGAATGCAAACTGGTGTAGCCACCATGGAAAACAGTATGGAGATTCCTCAAAAAACTGAAAATAGGGGCTGGCCCTGTGGCCGAGTGGTTAAGTTTGCATGCTCTGCTTCGGAGGCCCAGGGTTTCACTGGTTCAAATCCTGGGCATGGACATGGCACTGCTCATCAGGCCATGCTGAGGTGGCATCTCACGTACCACAACTAGAAAGACCCACAACTAAAATATTTACAGCTATGTACTGTGGAGCTTTGGGGAGACAAAGGAAAAATTAAAAAAAACCAAAAAAACAACTAAAAATAGAACTACCACATGACCCAGCTATCCCCCTGCTGGGTATCTACCCAAACAACTTGAAATCAACAATCCAAAGTAACATATGCACCCTATGTTCATTTCAGCACTATTGACAATAGCCAAGACATGGAGGCAATCCAAGTGCCATCAACTGATGATTGGATAAAGATGTGGTATATATACATAATAGAATACTACTCAGCCATGAAAAAAGACAGGTTCATCCCATATGCAACACCATGGAAAGACCTGGAGGGAATTATGCTTAGCAAAATAAGCCAGCCTGAAAAGACAAACACCAGATGATTTCACTCATATGTGGAATATAAACAAGCACATGGACAAAGAAAACAGTTCAGTGGTCACCAGGGGAAGGGGGGTGGGGGTGGGGGGTGGGCACAGGGAGCATCTAGGTGGTGACAGACAAGAAATAATGTACAACTGAAATCTCACAATGATGTAAACTATTATGAACTCAAAAAAAAAAACTACATAAGCTAGAAGACAGTAGATTGACATCTTCAAAGTGCTGGAAGGAAAGGAAATGTCAACCTGGAATTCTACACCAAGCGAAAAAATAAATTTCAAAAATGAAAGAGAAATGAAGACTTTTCCAGACCAATAGGGTTTCTCTTCCTCATGAAACAGGAAATTGACTGCCAACCACTGATTCTCCCACTTCTTTCTAGCTAACTGAACCCTAACTTTTTGAAAAATTGAGGTAAAATTCACATAACATAAATTCACCATTTATTTATTTATTTATATTTTTTTCCCTTTTTCCTCCCCAAAGCCCCCCAGTACATAGTTGTGTGTTTTCAGTTGTGGGTCCTTCTAGTTGTGGCATGTGGGACGCTGCCTCAGCGTGGCTTGATGAGCAGTGCCATGTCCGCGCCCAGGATTCAAACTGGTGAAATCCTGGGCTGCCGAAGCAGAGGGCACGAATTTAACCACTCCGCCATGGGGCTGGCCCCTAACCATTTTAAAAGGTACAATTTAGTGGCTTTTAGTACATTCACAACATTGTGCAACCATCACACCAATTCCAGAACATTTTTATTACCCCCAAAATATACCGTGTACCCATTAAGCTGTCAGTCCCCATTCTGTCCTCTGCCCGGTCCCTGGCAATCACTAATCTGCTTTTTGTATCTATGTAATTTCTTATTCTGAGCGTTTAATACAAATGGATTCATACAATATGTGGCCTTTTGTGTCTCGCCTCTTTCACTCAGCATAATGGTTTTCAAGGTTCATTCATGTTGTAGCATGTATCAGTACCTCATTCATTTTTGTGTGAGAGGAACATTCACCCTGAGCTAACATCCATTGCCAATCCTCCACTTGTTTTGCTTGAGGAAGATTAGTCCTGAGCTAACATCTGTGCCAGTCTTCCACTACTTTGTACTTGGGATGCCTCCACAGCATGCTGATGAACGGAGTAGGTCTGCACCCGGGATCCGAACCCACGAACCCTGGGCCACTGAAGCGAAGCACAGAGAATTTTAACCACACTGCCACCAGGCTGACCCCACTTCATTCATTTTTATGGCTGAATAATATCCCATTGCATGGATATACCACATTTTGTTTATCCATTCATCAGTTGATGGACATTTGGGTTGTTTCCATTTTGGGGCTCTTGGGAACAATGCTGCTATGAACATTCCTGTACAAGGTTTCGTTTCAACACCTATTTTCAGTTCTGTTAGGAATCTACATAACAGTGGAATTACTGGGTCATATGGTAATTCTGTGTTTAGCCTTTTGAGGAACCACTGAACTGTTTTCCAAAGTGGCTGCACCATTTCCCATTCCCGCAAGCAATGTATGATGAATCCTAATTTTCAGTCAGGGCTGCAGTATGCCCTCTTCCTCAGGAAGGATCATGATTGGTAAAAGCCAGTTGAGGGAGATTACATTTCCCAAAGCCACCACAATATTTCTAATCTGACATGCTTTTCCTGAAACTTGTCACTCCACCTTCAAGAGATGGAGTCTGTTTCCTCTCCCCTTAAAACTGGTCAGACTTTTGTGACTCACTTGACAAGTAGAAGATGGAGTAAGTAATGTTATGTGACTTCTGATGGTATGTCTTAAAAGGCAATAATGGCTTCTGCCTAGCTCTTTTTCTCAGGACATGTGCCCTTGAATCCCTGAGGAGCCATGTAAGAAGTCCAGAAGATCATGAGGAGAGACTACACAGAAATAGAGCGAGATGCCTAAGATGCCCCCGGTGCTCCAGCCCCAGCTGATTATCTTCTTATTTCTTATTTGTTTATTTATTTCTTAAGCAAACATTAAACCACTCTAGTATCATATCTAATTTGATTCTTTTTTATTGAATGAATTAATTTTTTATTGCATAACATTGGTTTATAACATTATATAAATTTTGGGTGTAAATCATTATATTCTGATTTCTGTGTAGATTACATCATGTTCACCACCCAAAGACTAATTACAGTCCATCACCACACACACGTGCCTAATCATTCCTTTCCCCCTCCTCCCTCCCCTGTTTCCCTCTGGTAACCACCAATCCAATCTCTGTCTCTATGTGTTTGTTAGTTGTTTTTTTTTATCTTTTATGAGTGAGTGAGATCATACAGTATTTGACTTTCTCCCTCTGACTTATTTCGCTTAGCTGATTATCTTTTCAATCCAGGCACCAGATATATGGATGAGGAAGTCTTCCGATGATTCCAGCACCAGTGTTGTCTGACTACAATTGTGGACAGATCCCAAACAAAACTGCCTTGCTGACCCCAGTCAATCACCCAAACAGCGAGAGATAATAATAAAATATTGTAATTGTCTTTTAATCCACTCACTTTGGGATGGTTTATTAATCAACAATACATGTCAAAACAATTGATCCCCTTTGCCAGATTCCCAATTTCTAGACTATTTTACATCTAAGAATGGACACGTGGACACAGTTCTGACTAATAAGATATATGAGGAGATTTGTTGGGGGGGGGCGCTTCTGGGAAAGAGTTTGCTTTCTGATAAAATAGACTGGATATGAGAACCTGTGTTTAGCTCCCCAACCTATGCCTCTGCTTCCTGCCTTTGAATAAGAAGCGTGGACACAATGCTTACATCTGGAGCAGCCATCTTGTGATCCTGAGGCGACAGGTCAGAGGATAAAATATCAGCATCTGAGGATGACGGAGAAGAATGGACAGTGCTTGGAAGTTGGATGGCATTGGTGAATCCCTAAAGAAACCCTGGAAGCTCCTGGGTTTGACTACATTTTCTGAGCCAGAGCACTTACACTTCTTCCAACTATTTTTTGTTTTCATGTACCATAGTTCTGGGTTATAGGTGTTTCTCAATTTCATCTAAGAAGCAGTTTTCGATTCTTTTTGTTGTTGTTTTGAGGTGATTTTCTAGAAGAAACCTTTTATTCAACTTTTTTTTTTTTGGCTGGGAAAGATTTGCTCTGAGTTAACATCTGTTGCCAATCTTCCTCTCTCTCTCTCTTTTTTCTCTCCCCAAAGCGCCAGCACATAGTTGTATATTTTAATTGTAAGTCCTTCTAGTTCTTCCAAGTGAGCCGCTGACACAGTGTGGCTACTGACAGACATGTGGTGTGGTTCTGTGCCCAGGAACTGAACCCGGGCCACCGAAGTGGAGTGTGCTAAACTTTAGCTGCTAGGTCATCAGGGCTGGCTCTTATTCAACTCCTTGAAACTGATCAACCTTACTCATAATAAGAAAATGCAAGTTAAAACAATAGGAAAATACCATTTTCATCTCTCAGATTGACAAAAAGAAAAAGGTTTGATTGTAAAACATGTTAGGAAAGGTGTGGGAAAGGCTTGCTTACATGCTGCTGGTTGGAACATAAATAGGAATAGACTTTTGGAGTGAATTTAGGGTACCTAAGGAAATGTAAAATGCACATAGCCTTTGACCTACCATTTCCCCTTGTAGGAGTTTGCCTAATAGATAAACTCACAAAGACTACGTGCAAGGGTGTTTACAACATTATTTATAATAGTGAAAAAGTGGGAACAACTTAAACATGAGACTGGTTAAATAAATCATGATATATCCATATGGTGGAATACTATGCAGCCATTAAAAATGATGAGGTAGGGGCTGGCCCCATGGTGTAGTGGTTAAGTCTGGCGTGTTCCACTTTGGCAGCCTGGATTCACGGGTTTGGATCTTGGCTGCAGACCTACATGACTCGTCAAGCCATGTGGCAGCAACCCACATACAAAATAGAGGAAGACTGGCACAGATGTTAGCCCAGGGGTAACTTTCTCAGGCAAAAAAAGAGGAAGATTGGCAACAGATGTTAGCTCAGAGTGAATCTTCCTCACCAAAATAAAAGGAGAAAATGATGAGGTAGATATATATGCTCTTGTATATAATGAAACAAGTGTATATAGTATCCTCTTATTTTTATTAAAAAAGTATGGGGAACACACAAATATATATTTATATTAATTATAATTATAATAGCACATTTATATTATAAATATAATATAAATAAAAATATTATAAATATGACAGGATTGTTGAGGGCCGTTTTGGAGGCTGGCTACCAGACAGGCAGATGAAGTCTCCCTCTGGTCTCCATCTCTAACAGATGGTTACAAGGCACAGTGTTTCTCTATTGCCTGTCGAGAGATGTCCTGCGTGGCTAAGTGACAGCTGGGCTGGCTCTGTAATGCACCACCTTACAATTGCTTCCCATCCTTTCCTGCCTCACTTCCCTTTGCCCTCACTCTCCCTAGAAAGGATTGGTTCTTAAGCTTTGCCTGGGCTCTGTTTTCTAGGGAACTGGAGCTAAGACAAATAGTACAGCTTAAATATTTCATGATAAAAATTTTAAATGGGGGGGCACAGGGAACAGAAAGCACTCAAGATATGTGAGGGGTCAGTGTGATTGGTCCATGTCCTCTCTTCCTGAGAAAACTCTTGAAAATACTGAGAGAAGAGGAGTCGTGGTATAAGAGTACTGCCAATGAGCAGTGAACCCATTTAATTAGATTTCCTTTGCCAGTTAATTCTTTTCTCTTCAAAATCACTTTTGAAATGTCCAAGGAAATATAAAAATGGGAGAAAATCTTTTTCAGTACTGGAGGGGCAAAAATTTATATTTGTATTTTGTGAAACTTCAGCAAGATACAGAGCAAGTGTATCTGGACTGAAGGGAATATTAACCGCTTTCAACTTCATGAATATAGAAGAAAATCTCACCTGGAAAAGGAGTAGGTGAAAGTCACCCAAAGAGCTCTCCTGCAAACCCCAGATCAGAACAACAGACCTGGGGGGGAGTGGCCTGCAGGATGGTAGGGGAGGGAGCTCAAAGAGCCTGGACCCTGCCCAGGGCCAGTCCTGGAGCAGCTCTCTCCTTGCTCACTCTCAGCATTTCCACAGAGTAGACCCCTCTAAGCAAATCAGGAACTTTGCTGCAGGGCCCCCAACAAAGAGCTGTGCCTCAGTTAACTCCTGGTTGCCACAAACATCACAGGGAGAAAACAACTACTAACTACATCAGTGAATATGGTGGGCCCACTACTTTCTTGTCCAAGGTGAAAAATTACGCACTTTATTTACACAAATTTGCCTTGAACACTTACATTTAAAAAAGTCACACTTTAACACGACAAGTACCTATAATAAAGGCATAACACAAGACAATGTAGTAGAGTTCAAGTATCCAGCTGCCTGTTTTTATAAGTAAAGTTTTAATGGAACACAGTCACGCCCCTTTGTTGTTGAGGTGTTGTCTATGGCTGCTTTCTCCCTACATGGCAGAGGTGAGTAGCTGAGTAATTACAACAGACGCTCGCCAGTCTCAGCTATTTACTGTCTGAAAAGGTGGCTTGCAACAGCACTGTAGTTAAACGCAGCCTGTGAGAAACCGTTTCAGTAAGGATATATTCTCTCACTTGGATTGCACATTTTCCCCAAGCCCTCATGCAGGTGTACACCTTCTGCTTCAAGACCTTATATCTCTAGATATAAATGCTTTAACAAAAATTACAAATCTTTTATAAATATTTCAATCGTATCCTATGTGACACATGGCATTGCAGTTCTACAAAGTAGTAAACTCTGTAAAGCACCTTGAGGTTAGCACGAGTTTTTATATTGAAAAAGGGCCACAATCTAATATAGAATGGGAAAAGTTGAATTTTGAGCACAGAAAGGGGTGAAACCTCTCTAGAGTGTCCATTTAGGAGGCTTATACCATATTAAGCCCTAAAGTTCCTATCGGCTTCTTGCCCTCACCTCTCCAGATAACAGCAGAAAGAAGGGGTTTAGGTGATCCAGCCATTTCTATTCATTGGCATCTATTCCTTGGAATTTAAGGGCCATGAATTGTTTTTAAGGACATGGGATTTTGGGAAGGACCCATGACATTAGCCATCATTCTTATGTCAGGGAACACCCCACAAGTCTCCTAGGAGTGTCTCTCTATATTTACAGCTGTTCTTGAGTTTGAGCAAAGAATGTACATTACTGCGTGGGTTGCATAGAGGGGCCTAATAAACGGTTGCCCTTTCTCCCTGGGGAGATGGTTCGTCCCTCTTCACTCTTTTCCTATATCTCCCCAACAATCTCAATTCTAAGATGGCAAAAGTACCCTAGATTAGGGGCTGGAGACAGGGAGGGGCCATGGGGTGGTCAGTGGGGAGCAAAGTACAATTGGATACCTGATTCTGGGAATTATCTCAATGACTTCACTGGAGAATAAACAGGCTTGGGATTTTGAAGAACCAATAAACTGCCTCTGTGTAAGAGTGAGAAAGATGTAATGCATAAAATCATGGAGCAGCAAGTTTAATTTATATTTGGGGTAAAAACTATAACAAAGTTAGCTTGCTTATGACCAACCGCATATTGGGTTGCAACATGGATCTGTGCTGTGCATCAGAAGGTGCTCAGTAGCTGCTTTCTGATGAGGAGAAGAATCACTACTTTTCTCCAAAGCATTGGTTTTCAGCCTTGATGTTTTGTCATAAATAATATCATGCCAAAAATCTGTGAATGTTTTACCCAGTGAAAATAAAGATGATTTAAGTTTACCTCTATAATGCACCACTTTTACATACTCGCATTCACATTTGCTTTGCTGTGTGGGAGGGAAAGGGGTAGAGTTACAGCATGTACGCTGGAAACTGTGCACTGAGGGATACTGAGCATTCGAATATCATTTGTCAAATGTATCAGGGCAGAAAAATGGCTAATGGCTGCTTCTCTAAAGAACAGGTCCTGACTAAAGCAGGTAATCTTTGGCACAGGAACGTTCCTAGTAGGTGGAGGAGGGAGTATCATCTGTCAGGCTTTTTTT